AAAGGACTTATCATAGAATTTTTTTTTCTTTCCTCCCGTTTTACTCATTTGTATCTTTAGACCCAGACCATAAATCTTGATTTATGTTTAACAATTTAACTTAGTATTACTAAATATTACTAATTTAAAAGAATTCTCAATACATTTCAGAGTCTTTATGATTTTAAATAAAATTACTTTATGTAGGAAGTCAGCACAATATCTATGTACCATTTAAATCTTCAAACAAGGCCTTCAAGTGCTGTGATTTTCAGTATATGTTGTGCAGCACAATGTCCATTGTGAACTTAATACCAAGAAAAGGAAATAATGTATAAAAACATTTATTTTTAAAAAGGTGATTTTTTTTTTTTTTTAAAAGCTGATTGTTAATTATGTGACTCCTGTATTTTATTACATATCTAAACGTAGGGAAATACATACATATATACATAGGGAAAAAAGATTAAAGCTTTATCATATTTTTACTTTGACAGATGAATGTTGTGCATCTACTGTAAATGCTGCTACTATGCCAGGGAAAAACAAACACCCAACAAAACTAGTTTTTGCTACTACAAATCAGAAGCAGTACTGTCAGATTTTAGACAGCACAGAACAGTAACAAATAGATTTATTGATATAAATTCCCAAGTGGAATATAGAAATAAGAAGTTATATTTAATGTGAAAAACCATAGGATCTTGATTGTCACTAAGAAGCACACTGAGGAAGGCACTTCTAAAACATTTCTGTGATTTCCTTGCTTGCTTTGCCCTGCAGGTGATTAATGTCGCAGATGGCAGGTAAGCTTAAGAAGTTCTCCAGTTATAAAAATATATTTAAATTCAGTTGCATTACATGTAATTATGACAATTAGTCTGAATTCTGGATATGAATACAGGGAAAGAGCAGTTGTGAAAATACTTTTTTAAACACCTAAGAAAAGCTAAGATAAAGGTCATGCAAATACTACCTGTGTCATCATACCCCATAAGGAGTGTGTTCCGCCTGGTGTAGCAGAGCAGTACTTAAGTCTCTTTCACTGTCTACATCTCTGTGGAGCATCACAGGATTTTTGGCTGGCTGAGTCAGTGGACAGAACTGATGTATAAAGCAGTCCACAGGAGTGAATGAAAGGTCAGTTTGTTGATACCGGGTTATGTGACTGCAGAAAGACTTGTGCAGCACAGGCAGACATGGTTTTTTTTGAAGAGGAAGGCTGCTTTTGAAATTAAATTATTCTTTTCAGTTTTTGTGTATTTCATGTGTAAGGAGAACACAGTGTGCAAGCTGTAGTCCAACAGAATAAAGTTCCATAAGGAAAGTGAAAAGACAAACCATAAATAAGTTTCAGTATCTACCTTACATTTCAAAAGAACTGCTCATTTTCTTATATCATGGTTACATATGAAAAGTATTGCCAACTTGTTAGGTTTTGGCTATTAGCATATGTGTGCACATAGATGCGTCTGCCTTGAGTCCAACAGAGCATTCCTTGCCACTCGACAGCCTATCTGCATGTGTAGGGCTCAGATCCTCCTAATGGAACACAGCCAAAAACGAGACAGGTTGCATAGATGGTCTTTCTCCAGAAAAACTTACCTGAACACGCCTTCATATTTTTTTTTCCTTGTAAAGAATTTCTCATCTTCATGGATTATAGGTTTTTCCATAGGTTAAAAGTAAAGGCTATGCCTGCTCTGAAAACTTAAGTTTATACTGGTATCCACTGTCAAAACCAGACTGTTGAAATAATGGATGAGGTTCACTTCCTCAGAATGTGTAAATGTCCCAACTTAGAGTTAAACTTTCAACAGCTGAAAGACAATACCATTGACATGTACCTGGCACTAGTTAGTCAGGTTTATTTTTTCCTGGAAAACTGTTTTGGGCGACAGAGTGGCGTCCTGGTTTCCCAGGTTGTTGTGCTGACAAACTGCAGTGGTGGTAAAGGCAGGGAGTCTGACAAAATCTCATTAATCATTTTAAATTAAATGCAACATTCCTCTCCAACACTGCCAAGAAGAAAGCTAACTTTTACAAATGAATACTCTTTCTGAAAAGAACTGTTATCCTGACCATGTTGCTTTCACATAAATATGCTTGATTTCTGTCACACACACATACTCAAAAGTAGTACTTTTAAGCTTAAAAAATAATACATTTGTTGGATTGCTAGAAATCTGAGAAGTGCATTATGTTCATTTCTGTATTAGGTGCTATGAGTGAGCCACACAGCTGAAAATTAGAGCTTCTTCATTCTTTCAATGAATTGTAGGTTTTTTTCTTTTTAAAATTATAAAGCAAATAAAGAAAGTTCCTTTTTAATACAAGAAAATTTCACATAAGGAATGGAAGTATTCTGTGTAAGTATTTTCTAAGCCATCTCTTCTCTAAGCTTGTTTGTATGAATAAGAAAGGAAAACTGCAAATTTACTAACTTCATTGTCAGCAAAACCACTGAAGTGATGAAGGAGCAACGTGATCTCTTTTGAAGCTTTTTACATACACGTTCATTTCTGTAACTAATCCTAGCTATCTGGTTATGATTTAATTACATGCATCTTCTGGTAAGTCTTAACTTTTAACATCTGATAAATAATATTAGAAGATCACATAAACTTTTATCTTGCTAAAATCACCATTATATGTAGATTATAAAAATTTGTATATTATTTCTCTTTAAGGCTAATAGAAACCATAATGTGCCTATGGGAGACACAGGAAATCCTTTAAGTCTGTCCTTTGTCTGTTTTAATAGTGCTTTTGAGATTAGAATGGTGGATTTTATAACGGCAGAGAACAAGTCATCAGCCTCAATGCTTATTAGTTTTGATACTTACATGAAATATGTGAAAATAAAAAAAATCCCAGTCCCAATATAAGGCAAGTAAATCTGACTTTTCTGAATGCTTAATATTGTTATTTTGACATTTTAACATGATCAGGTAGGTATACCTCAATTTTGCTTAAGTACTTAAAGTAATGTAATAATTGTTTTCTAAAAAACGGAACTATAAAAAATGTTGGATTGCACAATGACAACATTACACAGAGAACAAAACTATTACCACTTCAAAAAAGTAATTCCTGTTGATAAATCTGTTTATGTAAGGAACATTAATAAACTGCAGCATACCGAAGAAGAAATACTAACATTTATTTGCACAGCTAGCCAGTTTATTTTCCTAAATCTGTATTTTGAAACTGTTTATAATTTTTCTTTTTCCTGTGTGAGGGGTGGGAGGGAAAGGTTAAAGAGAACAAATTGAATTTTTTTTTTTCCTGAATGCTAATTTTTTGCCCACTTCAAAATTGACAAATGTGTCTCTAACTTACAATTGTTTGGGCTTTTATATGTTGAAGCAGCTTTGATTTATTTTGAAAAGCCAAAGCTGTATAAAACTGTTGTTTAGAGTATGAATGGAAAGTATTCGAGACAAAAATAGTTTTGAGAAAATACGTAGAGTATCAGACACCGTCTAAAACTAAAGCATGTGACTATGTAATATATGCCATATTCCTTGAATAAATGCAATGAGAGCCTCAGAATACAGGCAAAAATGAGCTGTATTATGTGACACTTTATATGGACACAGGTACACTCATTTCCCCTACATGAACAAAGAACAGTTGTCCTGTCACATCTGTGTATGCTAAAGTTAGCAAAATTTCAGAAATGGCCATTCAGAACACAACTTCAGTGTCTTTTAGGACCAGAATAACTAGCGTTTGCAGGGGGATGGGCTGTAGGCTCATTTCTTCCTCCAGTGCTGCATACAGTTAGCATGAAGGCAACATTACACGGTCAAATTCAAATGACATGCAATGGTGGAAACACAGTAACTCCAGAATCATTCTGCAGTTATGAGTATGATTATGCTCATATATTTAGGCTTTGGATCCTCTATCTAAGTCTGATCAAGTAACTATTTCCACATCATTTAGTGACACCTGGATCAATGAAGTATCACTATTTTTTTTAAAATGCACATGGAGACACCAGTAGTGCATGGAAGACACTGCCCAAAACTTAAGTTTTTAGAGGGATTTTGGAGGATGACTGAAAGAATTCATACTTTATCTTTCTCACTTTGCAAGAGTATTGTTACACCCGCTTAAGATTCTTTTTCTTTTAAGACAGAAAATTGCCTACCTTCATGAAAATTTGAGATTTTTAAAATGCAAACAATTGCTTCTCTGACACTCTGGAGGCAAGACTCAAACTTCAAAACAAAAAGGCATAGAAGAAACATCTATTGTCAGGTTTTGTTTCTTGGTTACCTCTAAGGGAATTCACACTTGGAGTGCTGTGTTTGCTGTTTTCTGTTCCACTCTGAGTTAGTAATATAATGTACTGTGTGAGTTGGGTGCTAACCATCTAACACTGTTCAAAATCCTGTTCTGAAGATCAGATGCTGATATCTGTATGTGATTATGGTTTGGGGTTTTTTTCTTTTCCCCTGGACTTGTGTCTTATGGAAACTTTAACCACACCATCTTGCCTGTAATTTATATTCTTGGCTGTTACACTGGCCTTGAACTTTCTAAACCTTGTTAATAGATGTACTCATCTATTCCAGAAAAATGCATGTTCTGTCTGCTTGGAGGCTTTGTTCTGTATTTGCTTGAGGATGGGAACTGAGGATAACTGGAAATTAAGAGAAACGAAGATTAATAATTGTACTCTTGTAACAATGCAAAATTAAAACCATTATCACTAGTATCAACATGAATACCAGTCAGAAGAGAATCTGGCCTCGCTCTGCATTTGTGGTTTGAGATGAAAACATTTCCCAATAAGATCAGTTGTAATTTCAAAGTTCAGGGAATTCTTCTCTTTAAGTGTAGAACTTCTGAGAAGTGTTTTCTAGAAAGCCATATTCTGCAGTCTTCATGTAAGATCACTGAGGAAGACAGAGATACATACCCTTTCTTGCTGGTTTTACAGATTATATTAAAGGTTTTCCAACTTTTTGGGTTTGTGGTTCTTTTTTGTTTTGTTCTGTTCTTTTTTTAACAGGACCAGATACCTGTGCCTTCAAAGCTCCTCAGTGTACCATATACCCTTTATTTGTGTTTGAGATCAATTGACTACTGCAAAATGCATCCTTGAGCTTTCTGAAATACATGAAATGACACTGGATGAAGTAATGAGAAGTTATCCAAAGAGAGGGGAGTGATATTATAAAACCTGTCTGGAGGATGGCTGCATTTATTGCTGGCTCCTGGCTTTGGCTGTGTACAGTACACAAATACAAATTGCATTTACACTTAAAGGTAACATAATAAAAAAATACAACTTTTTCTGGCTGCATTTTTGCATGTGGACCAGAGCTACAAACAAAATGTACTAACACTTGAAATAGCAGCAGTAGCTACATTTTTTTAATCCCTGTCATTTATGTGGACCTTATGTGGACTGTTACTGTCATCTTCTCATATCTAAGACAAATGTAACACCCCCTAGGTGCCAAATGGAAAGCAGCAGTGTGGGCATAGTGCGTGTCTGTGAGGAGTATGACCTGCATTCAATTCCTGGCTTTGCCATAGGCTTCCTACATAAAAAAATCATATTAATCTGTAAAATAGAACTAAGAATATCTTCCTACCTCACCTCATGGTGTGGTAGGGAAAAAGGATAAATCTACTTGTTACCATGATGAATCCAGATGCTAGCAATAGCTCAGTATTATGTAAACAAACATAATCAGGAACAGCTCTGATTTCAACTACATATTATGTCAATTTAAGAAAAGTACTGCTCTATGAGTCATCTGAACAAAAACCAGGCAAATCCTCATTCAATTCCTGCACATGCACGGCAGTTGTACTGCTAATAGCCTACAGGCTTCAGAAAATGTAAGACACAATCCGACCAAAACCATTTTTGAAGTATTTTCATACATTTAGAACTATTTAAAATCTAGCTCTATGACAGATTTAGAGAGTAATTCAGTATCTGAGTCTGAAACAGCTCTCCAATCCTGCACAGTCACGGCTTGGATCTTGCACAGTCAGTTTGTAACAGCTTTAGCAATGAGTCATCTGGTACATACTTGCCTCGGCACTTCCATCATTGACAGTTCTAGACCGAGGGAAGCAGCTGAAAGCTGCAACACATTAGCTACCCCTACCATGCACCCTGCTGAGATTGTTCCTTGTTCACTGTGCTAAATAGATGCTTTTTGTCCTATGATCCAAATAACTAGTGTCTGTGGTATAGGTTAGCTCTATGTAATCTGTACAATTTACCTAGGCTATCCCTGTACGACATCAGGGTTCACCTAAAATAGAGGCTGTAATCTTCTTCAAAATTGAGTGAAAGGCAGATTGCCAATGTGCTAATTCAGTTAGTCAAGAGAATATTAAATATCATCTTAGATATTTTACAAGTGTTCTGTAATCTACTAGAATAAACTTTATCGTAGTATTCAGAATAATGTTTCTCTAACTTTTGTATCTGAGGTAGTCAGCACTGTAAGAAAATGCAAAAGAAAGAAGTACAACACTATTTTAAGAGATAAAAGGAGAAATTTTAGTTAAAATATTTTACAATAAAATAATCATGATTATAAATCTCTTTAGTTAAATATATACACATTACATGGTAGTCTAAAAAGAATGAACTTATTAAAGTTTCAAGCAGATCTAACGCACAAATTCACCACTTTGTCAGCTTAGACTGTAATGTCAGTTTAACATTCATAAATGGCTGTGTCAGACTAATGGAATTGTTTTGTGCAAAACTAAAAAAATTATGAAAAACAGATCTCCAAATCCTTCTGTTCCAACAGTAAATAGATAGAAAAGGTAGTTTACACATACACACACAAACTTTGATTGCATACAGAGGTTAGAATGACCAGCACTAAAATAACCCCCATCTCTACAAAATAATTAATTTCTTGAACTGATGTAGTTTTTGTAAATTACAAGTTTTAAGTGCTAGCAAATTGTGCTTTTAGGCAGCCACATGGCCAATAAGGTAGATGTTGTCATAAAGGTGCCCTACAAAATCTTCACTAATATTCTGTGCCGCTCGTCGTGTATTTCGGATGAACTCCCTCTTTGACATTTTGTTCTTCACGTGAGGGCTTGTTAGATCAATGGAAAGTAGAATCAAAGAGTAACATAGTACATAAACTGCATCTAGACAAGAGAGAATAAATAAAACAATTCTAAAAAGGAAATTGTGATCATTAAAATTACTGTTCCTTGATCAAGAACCTTATCGTCTTCATTATTTGTGCTTATAATTATATTTATATATACACACACACACATATATATATATATATACACACACACACACACACATATATATATATATATATTTATATATATAACTCAAAAGGGTATCCCAGTGAAATAAAACTTAATATAGCAATTTTCAATTAATATGTCAACATATTGCCAAATGAGCATGTACTCTTAATATTTCTACCTTATCCAAAAGTCACTAAGGGCTTTATGCCACATTCATTTAAACATATTCTTGGAAGTTTTCATAAACTAAGGCCAACATCTTGCTAAAGCTTATCTTTAAATATGTAAGCAGTCCCAGTGCTGAAAACTGGCTCTCCCCCAACCAATTAGAAATGCTTGTTAACTTGAGTAAGGCCCAAAATTCCCTCTCATTACTGTGGGACTATCCACAAGGTAAAATATTAAGTGTGTAAGTCTTTGCAAGAGGGAACAGAGTTTACAGTACAGAGTTTAAACACAGACAAAGGTGGAGGAAAGATAACATGAAAATAAACCCCACTTATCAGGTAGGTCTAAGAAAAGAATCTGTATGTTATTTTTAGATTTTTTTTCAACTTGAGTGGGATGATGTCTGTATACTGAACCCTCCCAAGTTGTGTTTGTATTTTCAGAAATACTTGTTTAGGTGCTGATTTAAATGTATCATAAACAGTAGCATCATCCAGAAGTATAAAGGCTGATCCACTGAATCAAAGCTCTTTTTTGCTTACCGGGGCTAAGGCCAAGCTCTCTCATCAAATCAGGGTTACAAGCACAGAATCTGTGAGAGAACTTTGTTATGAGAGTCTCAAGGTACTCCCCACGCTCCTCAGGAGCATGAATGTGTCTGAAGAACTCTCTCAGTGCATTTGGCAAGAACTGATTTCTGAAGTTGTGCAGCGTCACAAGGTCATCCAAAACATCTCGCCTGGTAGAATAAAATCCCACATAATTAGAGAAGTTTCTTTTAACTGTTTAAACATGGAAATGTAGTTTTTAAAAATAAAAATGAAAGCTTTAGAATAGTTTGAGCTTTGTGTTTTGCTGAAAGACAAAGAAAATTATCACTAACAGCACAAAGATAAACACATTCTTCTGACACTTATGATACTAGCTGAATACTAGAAAAATATACATTAATCAGAATTCTAAGTTTCTTTATATGCATATGCAATCATAGTCTACATAGAGGTTTCACTTCCTTTAAACTGTCTGACAAAGCCATTAAAAAAGACAGTGAAGGGAATAGATTCATGTGTGTCACACACTTTGGTGCCTAAGAGGAAGTTGTTACAGGAGAGTCCTGTTAAAACCAACCTTAAAGTTAGACCTTTAAAGTCTAAGTCCACCAGGGTGTGATGCTCTCAAGCACTGAACATAGAAACATCTAAAGGATTCAGACTAGCCTGCATGAACAGATGTGCAAAAGTCAATCAAAGAATATTCTCATATGTTTATTCTATTAAACATTTCAGTACTAAGAGGGGAAATTTCAACATTTAGAAACCTAGTTTTTCTTTTTAGTGCCTGATTACATTCTGTTTAGGAAGGGAAGATGAATGGGCAGTGCTAATATTAACTTGCAATCTCATCCATTAAATGGTTTTGTACTTTTTCTATTGCCAAAAAATTTGATAATCTGAAGTTTTACAGCGCAGGACTGTCAGTGGTGATAACACTACAGAATGACTTCTTTTACTCCTTTAGTGATACAGATTGAGGAGCATGAGAAGGAGAGGACTCCTGACAGAAGCACTGCTGTCCCTTTGCTATTTCTATTTAGATCCAGTTATTACTCTCCTACTCTTTCAACTTCTCCTAAATGTGTTGGTGCATCTCTTCTGCTACTGCACTACATCAACGTAAAGGTATCCTGGAGGGCAAGAAAAAGCACTGAGGAGGTAGAAAAGCATGCTACAGCAGGGAAAGTGTTCCCTACTGTAGCTCATGCTGTTCCAGGAGGATGCTTCCACTGCATCTTTGGAGGTGGGTGTAACTTCCATAGGAGAAATACCAGCCAACCAAATAATGGTTAGATGATTCCACATTAGTTAAAAAGCTATCATCACTTGGGAAAGTGGTAACTACTTTTCCTGATTAACACCCATACTAGATAGGAAAAAAAGAAACCTGAAGTCAAAACCAGCAGCAAAATACCTAGAAAATCTGAATGTCATACAGCACAAAGATTATCCTTAAATGCTCACTATAACTTCAAAACAATTTATGCCCAGAACTTCAAAAATGCAGAAAAAAAGAACAGGATGTGAGATTTAATAGTTACAGATGTTATTTTTAGGTGTTCTTATAAAGAGAAACAATCACATAAATACTTGAACTGAATAACTATTCAGATTTAGCAGCAGCATTAGTTAGTTGCATTTTATAATCTTTAAAATTATATCAGTACAAGCAAAACATTGTTGAATGGTGATGTACAATGAAAAATAATAGAAAATGTCTCAGGAGAAATTCATATTACCTTTCATCAAGGTAGATTCTCAGCTTCTTCCAATTTAGTGTTCTTGTGCAAAAGATAAACTTAGCTATTTCTTTTGGTGAATCATCTAGTATGCCCTTGGACATAAAGTAGTTGACTCCCTGAGGAAAAAAAAATACATGTATGTATGAATATGTTTAATCTTCACAACAAGTTTAGGAACAATATTGTATTTAGTAATGTAGGAACATATCCTACTAATTAGTTGGGTTTTTTTTTTCAGAATGATTCCTCTTCCTCTAAATCACATTTGAACATGCACAATACACTCTAAAATTATAAATCAAACACAAAGAAATAATTTATTGTTATGGTTGAGATTTTACATATACTCACAGTAGGAAATTTAAAATTATGAACCCCATAACAAGCATGATGGTTCTTTAATAATTTCCTTACAGTGTAGACTAGTATTTTGATTTTTATACTTTTGTAATTGCATTTAAAATACTGCAGGGACCATAACTTTTAATTTCATAACTTCTGTAAATAAGAAAATCTTAGCCATAATGTGTTAAACCTTTAATATCTTTCACTAAAACATTAACGTTCTCACATGTATATGATGTGTCACATTCAAACAGATGCATCAAATGCATTTGTTTAAATGTGTAATAATGCAAATAAACACAAGCACGCTGATTTCAAAGCATAAGTAAATATCAACATATATAACTATGCATACACATAAGAACACTGTGCCTAACAAAGTTTAAAAAGATAGAACAATTGTACATATTTTATAGTCGTATTACGATTTCCAGAATTTTCCACACTTTGCCAAGCACACATTTCTTATATTACACATGCCAAATTTAATTAAAAAAATATTTCAGTGATATTCTGGATTCTTTCTGTTCATTGAAATATCCCAAAGAATACAACTATTTTCCGTATGATCTCAGAAATCAAAACCAAGGTAATAGATTAAAAAAATTTTTCAAGAACAAAAATCTCAACCTGAGAATAACTAACCAACTGGTTTCAATTCAATTTGGCAGGGGCTGGGAGTGGTTCTGAGCATTTGTTACAAGGAAGTGTTACAATACTTAAGTACAGTATCACTTCACTATACCATAATGTTGAAGTAATGTAAAATGTGCAGCACAGTGCATTTCTTTATAGGATAATGCATCAAGACCCCAACCTAAATCACCTTTACAATACTTCAGAAATCTTTTTTCATGAATCAAGCTTTACAATATTTTGCAAGTCTGCCTTTTTAGTTTACATTACACCTATAAAGATGTATGGGCAACCTGTCATTCAGTGTATAAACTAACTTCCCAGTGCTCTTCAATTTTGCTTAAAAAAAGAAATAAAGGACTGCGTGCAGGTTTGGAAAGTTGTTTCATGGAAGTGGATTAGTAAAGCAAAGTCTCAGTTACAGCAAGCAAAAAAGGAATCAGAATATATACTCAAGATATTGATAACATGAGTGAAAAGCTAACAAGCACCTGTAATACTATCTAGCTTTTTACTGGTTCATAGTTTTTGCTTATATATTCAGTTAATCAGCATACTTTTTTTTGTTAAAAGCATGTTTTATAAAATAAATAAAAATATAAAGGTTTTACATAGGTAAGAAAAAAAAAAAAATCCCAGCAATTTTTGGCCCCAATTTTAAGAAAAATATTTAAGGCCATCATGAAACATGTATTGCACTATAGGCTTGCAATTAAGTCCAAATTAGGTAAAATTTATTTGTCCATAATACGGATGGACAATATAAGTTTAAGTACTTTCTTGAATTAGCTAAATAGGAATCTAAAAATGAGATCAAAATGAACACTAACTGTGTTAATTCCTCAAGTATTTTTGCTATTTATACAAGACTAGCAGCAGGACATCTCCTTTACATATATCCTGACTTAATGAGACTTATGCATTTGCTTCAGAAATAACTATTTGCTTAAGGTAATGCATACTGAAGGCTGGCAAGGAAGTCTCAGTAGTATGCCTGTTGCAATTATCTAACAAACACTTCTGCAACATATCCAGAAAATACCTGGCATATCATAGATGAGGCAGCATGAAAATAAGACCTAGTTTTAGACAGACAAGGGGTTGATTTCTGTGAAAGTAAATGCCATTAAGTAATTTCTTTCATGGACTAGATTTCAAGTCAGTGTAGGATCTTTACCTCATAGGCTACCAAGTCTTTTCAAGGCATTTTTATTCCCTGTCTTTATCTAAATCCTTCTCTTTCCTCCCACAACACATAACGCTTGACAAGATCTTTCTCTGTGACTGCAGTCTTGTTATTCATTCTCCTCATCTCCTTCACAAATAAACAGGGTATATATAAAATATATTTCAGCACATGCCATCATTTTTAGCTGCTTTTTATTTCTTCCCAAGCCATCACAAATACTTTGCAAGAACAGAAACGTGATTTCTCTTTAAAGTCCTTAAACTTTGGCTCACAACAAATGAAATTTATTTACAAGATTTATGGCATGTCATTGAATCTGCTTTCTGTAACACTGTAAACACTGCTTTGAATCCCCCTCAGAACCCACACTTCAAATAAATCACTTCTGGTAGCCAAAATGGTCACTGGTGGCAGGTATACTAGCTGAAATAAGTAGTTCTACACACTATTAAAATCTACACTAAGATTGTTTATCAGTCATCTGGTGACTCTCTTAGAAAACATTTCACTGAAGCCAGGTAGGCAGATCTGTGCCATTATCTACTCGGCCTGAAGTTATAATTTTAACACTTAGGAAATACTGCAGGATGAGCACACACGGTATGTTCTTCTATTTCTGATTTAGTGGAAGAGTAGTGAGGTGAACAGTATTACAGCCAGTATTTCCAGTAGCTCTGTGTCTGCCTAACCTATATGAGGAGCCTGCTTGTCACCATAATGTTCTTAGCATTAGAGAATTAGGAAAGATGCCTTAAGGATACTTTGCCTTTGTGACAAGAATGTTACCACAATTTCAGACAGCTCTGGATAAAATCTTAATGTATGAAAGTGTTGATTTAAATTATATATCCAAATAACAATCATAACTACAGAGTATTAGTAACAACAGAAGCCATTTGTTGTATTTCAATGCTATTTTTTACAGTTGCTCCTTTTTTACCAGTCACATGATGCTTGTTTTGCCAACCTGTTCTATTACTGCACTGACACTCCTTGCTTGCTTTCAACCTGTTCCTAAGAGCCTTTCCATTCACATTTATATCCATACAGGATATCTAAAATTCAAAAGTTGGGGTTTTTTTTTCACTATTGGTTTCAATACTGCATTGATCTTCTCTGATAAGAGTTCTTTCAGAACATTTCGATACAGCAGTCAACATTAAAACTTTTGTAGTTGCCTCTGACATCTCTGTATAGATATGCATACAAAACAAATCAAATTCTAAGTTAATGGAATAGAAATTTTGGAATTGTTGTTTTTCTACATATATACATGATTTCTCAATATTTAAATGGAATTGCTTGCAAAGTCAGAGTTGGGAGACAATGAAGCTTTTTACCTAATGACTAGTTAAAAGCAGTGCATGAAAATATGACAAATACATTTGTCAATAAAGACAAATTTCACTTAATACTTGAAATTTCAAATTTCACACACTCTATTTGTGTAGCTTAAATAGTTTTAAAAGGTGACAAAGGAAATCACTAGTAGAATACTAACATTAACATTTTCAGGTGATTTATAATTGTGAGATACATAATCCTACCAAAATGGAAAAGCATATGTAAAAACATAAAATGCCGATTTCTTTCTAGCCTGTACTGTATTAAAAATAGAATATTTTGATCACCAAATTAAAACATTCTTAAATGAACACTGAAGAAATATAGGAATTCAGGTTTAAATACTAGCTTAATTATAAACTATAAATATTTGGGGCAGTGACTGTCATTTTATTCTGTATATACAGTATCTGTCATAGTACAGCCTCAATATTTAATTTGGGCTTCTAGGTAACTCTAAAATTATTAGTAAATAATACCTGTATGGTATTATTATTCCCATTTTTTAGGGAAATGAATATCTTAATATATGTCATAGTACATCTTCTGGAACAAAATATACAGTAGTGATGCAATATTTTCTAATAGAAATTTTCAAGATTCTTTTCCTAAGAAATATACACAACCTAGAACATACATTTCAAACAGTATCTCACTACATGTCTTTAAAATACACTTTCAGTGATACAGACTTAGGATGGCAGAAATCACAAGTTCATGTTATGCAGAATTAATCTTGTAAATTATTAGTTATAAAAGTTCTCTGATTTAATGGAGAGTTTGCAAAAGGTTTCAGCTGTGTGTTTCATTCCAACATTCTAGATAAATCACACAAAGAACTTCTTCCCTCTACAACATACAGATACTTTTAATATTCTTCAGACAGATAAATCAATGTCTCTAAAAATTGGCTTGTTTAGTAGATCACTATGAAACAGTTTATGTTTTCAAAAAATTTGGTTAGAAATATACAGCACAGTAAATATTCCATCATCTACAGACTATCTATAATTAAAAGTCAGGTAAGGTAGCTTTATGCAAGTGGATAACAATTCATTTATAATTAAGAAGAGGTCAGAAAACTGACCTCCCTGGCAAAAACTCAGGGCAGCTGCAACGAACGAGACAATCAAAAGAGTGGAAATCCAGGCTTAGTATAAGCACTGTCTTGCTGTACTTTACTGTTACTATGCTATGTAAAGGAAATCCTGACCTCACTGAAGTCTGAGAGTTTTGGTACAGTCCAGATTCCAACACATTCATAAAAATAAATGCTATTAAACAGAATCAGTTAGAATCACTAAGAATGAAACAAAAATTTGATCTTTTCTCCTGACCAAAGGATTATTTTTTCCACCTTCAGTGACAATTTTAACTACCTAGCATAACTCCATATAACAAACTTGACAAAATATTTTATAGGGAGTTAGAAACACTATACAAAACAGTGGGAAATAACTTCTGGTTACTTACAAATTCTGACTCATAAGCATATGAGATATGAAATGAGCACTGCATGAGAAACATTTCACATACACCATACACTCTTTAGGATAAAATACAGCAGAGACCATGTAGGCAGATTAAACAACATAATATTCATATTCAAGTGTTAATACTGACACTAAACCACCCGCTCTCCCCAAAGAAAGAAAAACCAAGTTCAAAAATCTTGGCTACAATGGTGCTGCCATATGAAAAAAAACCCAGAAACAACAAACAAAAAAATAATGAGAAATCAAACATGCACCGGAGGGGTTTTTTTTCAGATTACATGTAAAGTGATTAGGCACATCCTTTCAGCAGAATGTGAGCACCTGCTATGAATTATGCAAGCTCATGCATACAATCAATACATTAAATTACAGCAGATATCACAACACCATGCACACAACAATGGCTAACCAGAGAATCCTACCACAAAGTGTGTAGATGCTCTTCCCTACCCCGTGAGACACCGCTAGCTCTGGAGCTGTTGCTGTGGAGCCTGGTTACCCATTTTCATGACATGGGCGGTGTCCTTTGGAGAATCTTGCTCCTGTGGCTGTAAGTATTCCTATTTTTATAGTAATTTGATCAGGTCTGTTATCAAATGTAAAGCAGAGTTTGGCAGGAAATTCGAAGACACAATTTGTAATAGTGGAATGTCATATAATATATTCCAGTCACAGTGTCCTTATAATAATAATTCTGCCAATATCACATTCGTAAACAATAAAAGCAATAATATTTGTGAATTCTCCTGAAACTCAGGCCCTGAATAATTCCTACCAGGCTATGGTGCTCCACAGGGAGAGAGGAACAGAAGCCCTTGGGAGATATCCTGAGGTTCTTGTGTCTCACTAGGCCTGAAGCAGACTGTACTACTATTGTAAAATATAAATGTAATGAACCCAGAAGAAATAAGTGTAGCCTAATAAATTTAATACCTACTTCAGGTATACTATAAGGTAGCTCTAATTTGTAGATCTTTATTTCCTTTAAAAATAGTAAGTTTTTTATCCAGTGCCTTTTGTGAAGTCTCCAAATGCTTTAAACCTACCAAGAGTACTTTAAATTAGGTTGGAATATAACAGCATATTATAAACTAAGATAGTGAAAAATTATGTTAAAACAAATTGAAAGACACAGAAAAATTTGAGTGGACAAAGCTGTAACCAATTAAAACTTGACTTGTTCTTGAAAACACATTTAAGTTACCTAAATATTGTGTTTCATTGGAAAAGCTTTACATTTATTACTAAATTCACTGAAATCCTGCTGAATCAATGCTAATCATTCAAGTGCCAAAGTGCTGATATGACGTCTCAGCACCACGTATCACAGTTCAAGGCTGAGCTCTACCGGAGAAATTACAAAATACTGTAATTTGTGACTAATAAAAGTAGTGGGTTTCTTCCTCAAGCAGAATATGAGATAAAGCAAGAATTTATAACAAAATCACATTACTGTAATGATTCATACAACTGATTTATTTATTTCACACCATGGTCACAAGTTCATGTTTTCTGTATGATATCAGCAGCATGAACTATTTTCTCCTAGAAATATATCTTTTCATGTCTCTTAATCCTTCTCCTACTTTGGATTTATTCAACTACCACCTCCTTGTATACGCATAAATATATGTAGGAAGTTAACACTACTTTTTGTTCAGTACTGTGTACCTTTTATTTCCTAGGGAACATGAAGCAGGAGCCTGGTTTTTTACACAAGACTCTCTCTGTCCCTTGGGCGTTAACCGCATATCTCCCAGGCAAAAGCTGTCTACTCTCAAACTTTTCTTCTTTGAAAGGTGACAGAGCAAAAACAGAAACTGACTTTTCCAGTTAGCTACAGGAATTAATAAATGGAAATATTTTAGTTTGATATGGGGTATTTTTTGAAAATAAATATTTGTTGCTATATACTATAAAGTAGTATTATGCTTATGCATAACAAACATCCACAGAAATCAAATCAAACTGATCTTTAGGATAGTTCAGTAGTACATCTTTTTCAGAACATTTCAAGATTTGCACTTTGATAGTGGGAATATTTAAAAATCCCTTACAAGAAACCATAATTGTCATAGAAGTATGACTTCTATGTACACTACATAAATAAGTATGTACATAGTGTACGCTTCTAAAGTAACACACTTTATATTTTATTCTGCTTTAGCTAACTAATGTGGGATCTAACTCATACTCTACAGAGCATTTTATTTTATCTAAGCGTATTATTATCCTTTTAAAATTCACCATTGTCTCTTTCGGAATGAGTATAGATCCTAACTAAGTCAATATGTGGTTATGAATTTCTGGCATCCATAGGTCAGACTGCTGTACAGAGCACTTAAGAGGCAAGCCATGTAAATGATGTGCACAGGTACCATACACAAAAAAAGGTTAGGATAGGGCTGTAACTTAGTATTAACCATTCCTACAGTAAACCAAACACCTATTAAAACTTGGCTTTTAATATGGCTATAATTATAAAACAACAATCACAATTATTTTAACTGTTTATTACTGTCAGCAACAGTTCACTTACCTCATCAGGGTTGGCATTAAAGGTGAGACTGCCCTCATCTAGCTGCATATACAATTTTCTAAAAGAAAATCCTAGAGGAGGATTCTTATTGTATATAGAACAGTGACCCCAAGTGGATTTGCACAACCTATGAAAACAGAATTAAGTCTATTATCAAAATTCCTTTCTGTAATTCATATATTACACAGAAGCAAAATGTAATCAACACTGCAAAGCCAAATACTCAAACTACAGGAAAAGTCAGAAATAGGTTGCTTGCAACACTGAGTTATTACACCTTTTGAATGAGTGTTGCTCAAGTCTTCAATTACTTGATTAATTTTTTCTTCTAGGACAGGGTTTGGTGTATTGGAGTGCAATCCGAAAACATATCCCAGTAGGTGGCAACATTACAACATCCATACAGCTGAGACCTCTGGCACTCCTAGTATCTGAACACTGCGTAACTGTGAAAAGTTGTTCTGCAGCAGTATGACGTTCAAAAACTGCGTCTCTCCTCTTGTGCCCCAATTGTGTAGTGAGTGGGATACTACAAATACACAAAATTACGGTTTTAACTCACTGCTTTCCCCATCTATCCTTTTCCACAAAAGTGTTTTTTCCAGTCTTGACCAATCCTCATTATTTGATCCAGCCCCATCCCTCTGTATCTTCCATGACTTCTCAGTTTCTTTCCCTTCTTTCCCACCCTGACTCTTATCTCAGTTTCATCATTTTCTGTCCCTCATCTCAGTTTTCTTGATGACAATATCTGAAATTACCTTGTACTTTCACTTCCTAGGCACTTACTTTGTTGTCTGGATTCCTTACTGAACAGGTAGTTCTGCTTCCACACATCTACTTTGCAAATAATTAGGCACAATGCTTAGGACCCAGGAGGTAGGCACTGAGGACATGGGAGAGACTTTGTTTTCAGTGCAGGAGCCTGGGTCTTATTTGAACCAAGTTCAGAACTGCAGACACAGGACTTCCCAAAGCATAAATGTGGAATATTAAAGACTAAGATGTCTACAGATATTACGCAAATTGAGATTTTTATTAATTTGCTAAATTGGAACACATTTTCACTGCCAAAGTGTATATTTCAAAATATTTTTTTGGGGAGATTTCACTAATGACCGAGCTATTGCCTAGGATGAACTCAGAGGAAAATACATACTTTTTCCCCCCCGTATGTTAAAACTATATACTGCATACAATTAAAAAGCTCTAGTATCTTCATGCTTTGCTCCAGGGAGTTTATTTGTATTTAGTGTGGCTTTGATACTAAGAACTGAGTATAACACAATGCAGACTGATATAAATAAACTTAGAAGCTTAGCAGGATCTTCACTAGAATCCCTGTTTCCTGCCAAGACAACAGTCCTCAACAGCAGAACAATTGTGACTAAGAAGTTATAACTACATTATCCTATTGCTGGGTTCATAAAGCAAGATATGAAGGGAAGCTGAGGGGGAAAGAAACAGATGAGGGAAGGAAGAGATGTTAAGGCACAATGAAAGGAAAAGAAGCAGGACCCGAACAATAATCCAACTATTACAGTAATACTACTTACAGTCTGTTAAGGGGTAAGAATATGTTGTGAAAGAAGATACAAGTTCTACTGACCATCTACTCTAAAGCATGATTTGATGAGTCCTTCCTAGTGTTGTAAAACATCAAGTATCAAAGAAAATACTTTTAATTAAATTTTGATCTTAAGTTTCTTTAATAGAATGATCCTTTATTTCCTGAACATACAAACTCTGCGTATGTTACATAAATGTGTTTCAACTGTTAAGATGGCAGAAATTCCATTTGATGCATGTGCAGATCTGACCTTTTCTTTCTCCTTTCCATCACCATCTTCCATAAAATACACTTAAGTTGCTTTAAGACAAGTATAGTAGATGAGTCCTCATCCATTTCTACCTGGTGCTTCAGCTGAATAGGTTTGCTTGCTCAAGCTAGATAGTTGTTTGAAGTTCAGAGAAGTAATAATACATACATCTGAGATGTGCTTTCAGCTAATAAAAAAATTGAAGGCAAGTTCTTTTTTTCCCATGACATATCAAACAACAAGTGTGTAGTAATACACGTGTATACTTGTACCAAGCGCACCTGTGTATGTAGCAATCTCCACTAATAAGTGGCAGTAATTAGAAAGCCAGAATAACACATTTTAAAACTATACTCATGTTTTCCCTATGTGATATCTCATTTAACTTAGTAAAGATTAATAAGGTTAGGATGACAAAAAGCACATATTGAGACATAATTTGAAATCTAGTAATTATTTTTACTATGTCCAAGTGATATATATTTTTCTTTTTGCTTACCCTTGCCAAAGAAGCTCATCATTAGCAAGATCCTGCCAGACACATGAGGCTAGACAGAGATCAGTTGCATTCAGGTATGACAAAATGGTAAAACTAAGCTCCGGTGGCAGCATTTCCAAGTTAATGAATCCTTCTTGTTCTTTAGATTTTCTTGTCTTCAACAGGTGGTAGATGTCAATGCCTCCTTGGGCTTGTTTGCGATGGCTTGTATTGGAAACATTGTTAGAAGCTATCCTCCTACCATGTTCTCTGGTAAGATAGCCTTGTCCACTGTATCCTTGGTGTTGTAGTTGCTGGTTCCTAGCAACTCTCCAGAGTCCCTGACCCATCTGCGAGCCTGCCGGACATAAAATCCAAAATAAACGTTGACAGCTATTTATAAATATTTGTAAGACAGATTCTGCACACACTGGGAAAATAAAATTGTAGGACTGATCTGAATAAGAAAAAAGTGAGTTTTGTGAAAAAGTTATGCCAACGATGTAATCTGTCTCTGGAGCAACTGAATAAATACTGAAAACAAAACCAATTAAAAAAAAACTAGAAATTTTTTTCAAAAATTTATATGCTTGAAGAGTTACAAAATTCACAGTAAGCTTCTGCAAACAGTATCAAACATTATCTATGTCTTATGCAAGTCAAGAAGCCTTAACGATCAGAACATCTGGAAAATATCATCAGACTTCCTTTAAAATTTAATAAAAATAGCTTATTTAGAGTCAGTGAAATGCTATAAAATGTAAGAAGAAACAAAAACGTCCTGAGTAGTGGGTAGCACACAAAATTACACTGTGGCTGACATTAAGACAAAGCTTAACGACTTCAATGATAATGCATTAAGGATTCAGTTTCTTGTTTCTGAGCACTCAAAATATCTTTTCAAGCTTTCTTGCACAGTAGCATAAAAACTTCAGGATAAGGCTTCTATATTTTACTTATCACTGTGTTTGCTATTTTTTGTCAAATGTTGCTGCAGATGGTAATAAAGAGAATAGATTCTGAATGCTAGTCAGTTATCAAGATTTCTGAATGCCACGACTCAAATTTCAGAAACCACCTCTACTTACCAAGAGGAAAAATTAAAGTGTGATAGATCATACTAATTCAGCGTGGGAATGTTGTCTTAATCTTATCACAACTGGTATATATAAGGGGATCTATCTTATTTTTCAACCTTTGCTACGATGACAGATCACCACAGTGATTATACTAGTAACATGCAGATTCCCAATTCTGACTTTCAAAAAAGAAACACTTACGGCCTGGTCTGGTAGGATCTCACATGTTTTTGAAATTATGTATATTCTATTATCATGGGGAAGTAAAATTGGGGCTTTAACAGCGTTAAAGGTTGAAAATGAATGACAACTGTTCTATATAAGCAGAAAGAAAGGAGTGATTATGGGAGAAAAATTAGAGAAATTACAGAAGAAAAAGCATAAGCAAGATGGAAATAGACAAAAGAAGCATCCATTCAGGGGAAGTTCAAGGATTCATTTCTAGATAAAGCCACAGTTGTGAAGAAACTGTAGTCATGTGTATTATATTAAATTCAATAATACACAAGAATTCACATAAATTTCTAACTATTTTATTCTCATTTTTTGTAGTTACAAATTTGGCTTAATTTTTTTATCATACAGAGGCAAGTCAAACCATGATCAACTGCTACAAAATACCAGGCAAGTTTTTTTTTTTTTTAAAAAAAAGTCTTACTGAGATCATAAATAGGGCATTGAGCTGGCTGCAAGAATCTATGCATAAAGAAGGTATTCCCATTTTCTTGAAACCATAATAATTTTTTTATAAGTCCTTACAGCTATGGGTAAAGTTGCTTCATGACAGGAAGCTATACCACAATCTGCCATTTAAAAAGTGGCAACACAAGGATGAAAGCGGGCTTTGGTAATTCATGCTGCTGTTTGCAATTAATTTATAAATTTTTTAGCTGTAAACAAAATGTATTTCTTCACAAGATGAAGAACTCTGCCTTTATTTTTCACTGCCTAGCTAGATTAAAATAAGTGTCAGTAACTTTTTTTTAAAGAGACATTCCCAGAACTACAGTTGCTCAGTGCCACCATTTTCTGGTTTTGAATAACTAAATCTCTCCAAGGAGAAGGAAGTTACTAACTTTCATCCCAAAGGAGGATCACCAAGCACCATTACGCCAAAATCTAGCACTATTAATCTAGCAGGTGTGCCAGAACTGGCATTTGGGACCACAGGCATAAACCCATCAAGACTCCTGCTGCTCCAGCTGCTGCTGCTATTGCCCCTGCTGAGCAGTGATGTGCAGTGACCAGTTTGTGGGGGTAGGCAGTAACAGCCAAGGGCTGGAAGGAGGAGAGAAGGCTTTCCTAAGGCATGAAAAAAAGCAGATAAGGAATATTTCTGAGCAAATACAAGTTTCAAAAAAGGCTCCTATCACCACGCTAGAGGATTCAATTAAGATAAAGTTCACATTTTGCTAGGCACTGTATATGAGCTTGTTAATTACTTAAGCACAGTACTTAGTAAACAGATATGTCTAAATATCTTGGGAGGCTTCAAACAATTCTTGACCTTAAACCTCTGAGTAAACTGAACACTGCCAACAAGGCATTACACTTTCAAATATGCAGATGCCAAATTTAGAGGCTGTGTTCACTCTTGGAAGGTATCAAATGATCTGAATGACTGAATAATAACGATCTTTCAATTCAATTATGTAAAAAATTTAGGCTTTGGAAGAAGTAAATGTATACATACACATGCAGATTCAACACAAATATAATCAGCACACTTTCTTTATGTAAAAACAAAAGCAAAATCTGCCTGAAAATATAGCATTGACTCTAAATGAAATTATAAAATAGCTAAACAGCAAAATACTAGTTTCAGGGGCAGAGAGAACTAGGACTGAGGGCTTGTAACTCCTCATTATTATTTCAAGTCCTTAACCACTAAAACAATAAAAAACAGCCAAAAAAAAAAAAGGTAGAAACATTGCAATATTAAGCCTTGAATTTTACAAAATATGCAGTGAGAGAACCTATTCTACGTAAACTGTGTATGTGTAATTGTTAGTTGCAGCAATCCATTTGTTGAGGTACCTATCTGTAAAACAAATCAAGGAATTTATTTTGCTAGTATTTTTGACATCTTTTCTGACATTAGTTTATATCATTATAACAAAACCACATTTCTATACACATCTGTCAACTCCCAACATCTTTTGAAAATACTACTTATTTGGGCATTAAATAATAATTAAAAAAAAAATAGTAAGAGGAAATTCAAGGCTCTGAAGATAATTGGGAATTGTATTGTGACAAGTTTTGTAATCATAATACACCAGCAAGATGAGAAAGACCAGCAGTATTATGAGAAACAGTTCACAGAAAGGATGTGCCCAGTCAGTTATCAAGTGAACTTTACACTATCAGGTAAGAATCTGGCACTTTTATAGTAGCTTCAAACCTCTTCAAAGTCAGATTATCTTTCTGCTCTATATGCACTACTCGTAAAGAATTCAGTAGTGGTCACAAAGGGCGAAGTTCTCTTACTTAGCCCTAAATCAAATACTCAAATTTTAGTTGCTATTTTAATATCTTTATTGCAATATTCAGCTAGAAGTGACTGTTCACAGAATACATTCTACTGAAGAATACTGAGCTCACAAGAATATCAACAGTTCTTGTTGGAGCTCATGTGTTTTTTCTCCCCACACAAAAGCTAACTGCTATATACCACCAACAAAATAATCACTTCTAAATTACTTAACACTAGAAAGTGGATCAAAGACAGAATAAAAATACCAAGTAATTCAAGAAACTAACCTTTGTATAATACACTTGTACGTATACAGAATATATCACTGCAGAAAAGGATAAAATATTATATATATGCTGTTTTAGAGTATCAACTAAAGAAATTTAAAAGAAGAAACAAAGTGAGACACAATTTAAACCATTCTAGAACCAGTTGCTGGAAATCCACAAGCTTTTGGCTGCGTAGCTGTTTACCAGTCTATATGCCATTTGTTAAGATTGATTTTATTTTCCCCATCATGCAATTACTTTCAGCTTTGTAGTAATCCAGGATAAATGCTTTGAGAACTCACTCATAAAACAAGATGAGTAACCTCATTGTTTTTCTAAAGCCCTTTAAGTAATGGTGTCCAGAACTATATTTTTACATTATTTTGAACATTCATTTTCAGTCTCCAGATTCAGCAAGGCACTCAAATGTATTTTTTCAAACTTCCAATTATGTAACTTTATCTAATAACTGAACCCTCTTGATAGCTTGGCTGTAATAACTATCACAGTGAAAATAACTAATTGCTTCTCTGTTTCTGCCTGATTATCTGTCAACGAGTCTGATTTCAATTTTAATCACATCTTCTTCATGTTACCTTGTTACTGCATAATAAATTATTTTGCAGTGTTTAAGAGGAGAACAGGATACCAAAAGCTAAATGTAGTCTAGATTAATGCTGGATGGGTACTGGCTTCTGCTTTAATTAAGCAGAACACAACATACCCTCTCGATATAAACCCCTTCCACTTTATCCGAACCGAGCCCTACAGCTGCTGCTTTGCGACCAGAATTAGCCGAACGGGAAAACGTTCCTTCCCTCGGTGCTATCGAAGCTGAAGCTTCGTTTATCGCACCTGTATTCGTGACCGAGGCCTGCCGATACCCCGAACGTGCGGACCTTTCAAACCCCACTCCAGGCGGATAGACGGACGGTTCCCGAGGCACAGCGGCTGCCC